CAAAATCCATTCTTTTTCTACTGGCAGGGTAAAGAGGAAAAAAATTATTTTTAGGGGGTAGAATGGGAAAGTCAGGTAAAGAGAGCCCATAGACCCTAATCCCCACCACCCTCTTGGCCCTTCTCCCCGCCCCTTCCTTCCTGTCCTACTAGTTTAACTTCTCTCCCCAGTGACTTTACCTCAGAAACCCGAGTAGCCAGAGATGGGGACCGAGCCCGCAGAGCAGGTGGGAGTGGGGGCCCTGGGGAAAGGGTGACAGAGAGGGAGGGTATGGTGTCGGGATGGGATTCTCCACCTGGTACCAGGCCTCTGCCATGCTATGACCTATCTAGGATGCCTGGAGCCCTCTGGGAACAGGGACCCTCCAGATAGATAGGGCTGGTGATGTGAGGCTGGGGTTGGATGGGACTGGGGCTAAGGGGAGGGTAAGCTGGACCTAGAAGTCCCAACCAAACCCAGAAAACCTGAGCCCCAACCCTTGCGACCCCCTTGTCATGCGTAGTTCAGTGCACCTGTATTGGAGGTTTAGAGATTGGGGTGAGGAGGGGAGAATGGAAAGGAGACATAGTCCAGACCAAGCATGGAGTCCAGGGACCAAATCTGAGGTAAAGCCTGCATGTGTGTGTTCTTCCAGGAGAGGGCGCTGCAAAGGAACTGAAGCTCTAAGATTCATTAATAACATAAGCGGTTAGCCTATCGAGAGCCCAGATGCTTCACATTCATTATCTTCCTTATTTCAAACAACTCTGCCAGGTGGGCTGATCAGGATTTCTAATCTCGACATTACGCATTAGGCAGCTGAGATCCAGAAGGAGCAAGTGACTTGCTCAAGGTCACCCAGGAAGCTGGATGCAGGGGCAGGAGGAGTGCAAGGGAAGGCAAGGCCTGTTGAGGGTGTGCTAGGAAGTCTGGAGAAGAGTTTATGTCTTCCCAGGGACTGTACCATTGTACCTGGTCACACAGGAGCTCCCAGCTTGGTAAGCATGTGTGGGAGGGCAAGTGCGTAGGGGAGGTGTGTCTCATAAGGTCTCTCCTCTCATTTTGGCCTCCCCAGGTCTCCTGGGGCCCCTACTCGGGGGATGATGAGGAGGCATACTCGGCTGAGCCGTTGCCAGAGCTCTGCTACAAGGCTGATGTCCAGGCCTTCAGTCGAGCCTTCCAACCCAGTGTCTCCCTGACGGTGGCTGCGCTGGGTCTCGCTGGCAATGGCCTGGTCCTGGCCACCCATCTGGCGGCCCGACGCGCTGCCCGCTCGCCCACCTCGGCCCACCTGCTCCAGTTGGCTCTGGCCGATCTTCTGCTGGCCCTGACCCTGCCCTTCGCCGCAGCCGGGGCTCTGCAGGGCTGGAGTCTGGGTAGTGTCACCTGCCGCGCCATCTCGGGCCTCTACTCGGCCTCCTTCCATGCCGGCTTCC